AGCAAACATTTGAAAAATTATTCAATTATGTTATTTGGTTCACATATCAAGCTTTGTTTCCTGAAAAGTGCTATCTGTAGAGCCGAAGGGTAGCTTGTGGGTGACAATATGCTTTAAAACAGACACAGTAAAAATGTAATATTGAGTGAAAATTTGAATCATAATAAAAAGTACGAATTAATTGGAAACAATAATGGACACAACCGGTAACGTGTGTCATTTTAGTTCTTTTCTACAAAGCGGAACTTTCAAAGATAGACTATCACATCAAGCGTACACGAACCAGATAATCACCTCTCACCATTTTTTGGGCTCCGAAATCTGTTTTAAGGTTTCTTAAATTGTGTAAGAACATCGTTTAACGTTTCTGCTCACATTAATGATAAATAAACAGTCCCCTAGAACTCATGGTGATTTATTTCAATTGATTTCAATTCCTGTAGAAGAACGCCATTCTTGTGCAATTCTCTTTGTTGTTATACATGAAATAAACTTTAGCAGATTTGTTCACAATAAGACTTCTCGCTTTCTTTTTATTTTAATTGTTTCTTCTCTCCAGAAACATACTTGAATTTAGAAAAAATATTTGCACAGGTATTTTAGTGAACAGGCAGTTTGTCTTACAATACCACTGTCACTACAACAAAAAAAAATTGACGGTTTTTTCGGGTCATTGTTAGTCACAAGGAGAAACAGAAGAGAATTTTAATAAGGCCTTCGAGATTATTTAGAAGAGAAAATGTCATCATTTTCTTTTAATGATTGCAAAAAGATACTGTTAGTGGAAATTATGTGGAGTAATAGGAAGCCTATTCAAATGTGGCCAATTAACTGTTTAAGTGGAAGGTAGGGCTTCTTTACAAATACACAATAGAATATGTCAGAATAGCAATGGAAAGAAAAAGTATTTTTGGGTAATGTTGTTTGCTTATTCAGTTATAAATCTTTAACTGTTGTGTAAGAATAATATAGTCAACCGTTTGATAAGGTGGCATCAGGCTCATCGCTTGACTCGAACCATTCGTGGCTGTCGATCCGCTTATTGTATGAGTATGGGAGCCACCTGCATTGATTACTATGTTCGTAGTGCTGCTAGAAATCGTGTGAGAATGAGTTTCCGAGATGCTTCCGGTGCCTGTCTCTGAGTAATCTAGAGAAAGAGATCCACTCCCAAAAGCCGCTGTCCCGGTTGAGCCACCGTGATTGTGGCCCGGGTCTGTGATGCTGTGGGAATGATTACCGTCAGTCAGTGTTACCAATGTTCCAGTGCCATGATTATGCGCAGGCATTTCACTAACAGTGAGAACGTGTGTACGACTACCGCTCTGATTAATGCCGGCCACTTCTTGAGCGGTGCTGTTCAGGCCCAACGGAAACCGACCGCGGAAATCCGGCAAATTGAATGTATCAACGCCGTCGCCTGTACCGTAGAGCGTACCAATAACAGAATACAGCTGTGAATAGGTTGAACGAGAAACAGCTGAACCGTCACATCTTAACCACTTCGATGGAACACTTGTACCTGTGTACAACATCACCGTTCCAACAGGCAAACCATCGTCTAAATATATGATAAACAATAAAGTAACAATAAAACAGTAATAAAACTTTTGCTGTTCTAGAGACAGTAGTATTGTAAGAAAAACTGACTCTCTGCCATTTTGAGATAATCCTTATAGAAAACGAAACATATAAGAAAATGTTTCCGAAGAAGTAAATTCCGCCATGAGATGCGTCTTGTCCGCATCATAACTTACTGTTTGTCAGCCATAGCGTTAAAACGACAGCCAGTCCAATGCCACACAGTAATAAACCACATAGTAAGCCAAACAGACAATTTTTGCACGATGGTGAACAACAGCCACCCCTAAAGTGCTATATAATGCGATTTTTAAACACATACATTGTGGAAGTAGATGATATCAATACCTCACCATGTTTTTTGGCTCCTGCCAGATTGTTCTAACGAAGCGCTCTTCGTCCGGTGGTGGGGCCCATACTTCTGTAGCAGGAGCAGGAACAGTTGGCGCTGTAAGCTCAGCCGGTGGCGTTGGTGGCTTTGGTGGCTGCTGAGAGAAAGGTTGTGTTTGAGGAGGAGCATACTGCACAGGTGGATATCGAATTCCACTACTTTGAGGATATTGATTTGAATTCCTGTAGATGACGGCCATTCGTACTGCCATTTATGCGCAATTCTCTTTGTAGTTATGAATGAAATAAATTTTAGAGGATCTGTAGACGGTAAGACTTCTCGCTTTCTTTTTTATTTTAAGTGTTTGTTGACATGAACAATAAAAAATAAAGCAATGAGAAATCAGCATCAATTACACTTATCAGCTTTCTCTAGTCAGTTTAAAAGGGACGAATAAAATGGTATACTAAGAGAGATATGTAAGTGATTCCAATTCTTCTTCACTCAACAATCGAATAAGTATAATTATATTACAATGATGCTCATTATGCACCATGAAGATTTGACAAAATTTATGATAAACAAATGTTTATTTAGACAAATTTTTTAATTACTTACATTTCCAACCGTTTTTTCTAGATCAGTTTGTAAGGTACGAAGTTTTCGGATATTTTGCATCGAGTGTCTTTTTATATTCTATTGATTTTTTAAGAAACGTAATGGACGATCTAATTATGAGAAGTGTCACAAGAACAATGCATTACTTGCTCAATAGTATCATAAAGCATATAGTTACCCAAGCGAATAAAAAGTATCGAGTATTGGGCAATCCAAGCTAGCTAACTCAATACAATAGTCGATATACCTAGATAACCCTATATTTTACCCCATATATCTGGATGTTAGATTTATCACATGTTCAAGTAAGAAATCTTGTGAAGTATCTAGATATTTTGTTGTGATATTGGGCAATCCTACTA